TAATCCTTGCACTGAAACATAAAATAATTATTCAATATTGATAAAAAAAAAAAAAACAGAATATTTCATTTAAGTAGGAAAGGACATTGATACATTGACAAAAAAAATTCCTTAATACACATAATATGTGACATATATGCTGAAAATTTGGGAAAATTTGTTTTAAAGCTAGTGCACAATAATCTTTAGCTTTCATTTGTAGTGCTTTGGGTATACAATGTAGTGTATTGCTGCACATGTCATTAGACTGACAGGTGTCCTGGGTTCGATTCTCTGGAAGTTGAAAAAATACAGAGTAACAAATAAATGGTTCTCTTTTGTCGAAAGTCATTATCGTTTGCTTATATACTTGTACATAGTACATAACCATTTTCGAACCTTTTGGGCCTCTTGTTATATGTTTGCTAGAGCCAATTTCCAAATTGATGATAAAATTACATATTTCTCATCTACGGTATATGCAATATGTATAATAAATGAGAAAAACATACGTCGAACAGACCAAGGGGTCTATATCAGATGGGGAAAGGGGATATTTCTGTCTTCAAGCACCCATGAATAGTATAGCAATAGATATCAGTCGCTAATAAGATAATGTGCAATTTTATGCATTACCATGATTACTGTAATGATAGTTAGACTTAAACCCACAAATAACAATATGACAGTAACAAAGAAGAGAATACATGTATAAGATGATAAATAGGAATGCCTATGAGATCATAGAGGGTGATATAAAAAGGAATAAGGAAAAGGATAAAATTTCAATCCAACATTTCACAAAATCAACTCTGTTAGTTAAGCCGAGTGCTTACAATGTTATAATTATACAATTAGGTTGTTCGTGCGTGGTTTAATCATGCATTAATCATTAAAAACAAAGATAACCAGTTTCAGTTTAGATTTTGTGGATTTATGTCAAGATTGTAGCTTTTTATTTGAATGAAAAATTATTAATACTGTCTCATAAAAGTTATGACAATGTTTTTTTTCAAAAACAAATCAATTTTCCAACATACAGAATTTATTGAATAATTACCTTGACCCTTTGATCACAAAATCAATAAGGGTCTCCCTCGAGCCACAGAGAGTTGCTGTGTAAAATTTCAATGCAAAGGCTTCTTGAAAGTGTTACAGACAGACAGAAAGACACACGGACAGATGCACAGACCTAAATTTAGTATCCCCACTTTCAGTGAAAGGGGAGACAATTATATAAGTTTTTTTTTGTTGATTTTAAACTTGGTTTATCAAGATACTTCTTTAAAAAAAAAAATAGCATAACTTCCCCAGTGATTATTCAGTTCTTTCTTTTCCTACGTAAATAGTTTTTGATATCATATTGAGCTTAATAATATTATACACCTACACATTTATCTATTTTAACATCAATATGCACTAAGCAACACAGTTCCAAAAACCCAGATAATGTATTGGACCAGCATGCAAAACTTGTATCAAACCATTTTCCCCCAAATGAATGAAGAGTCCTTCCCAAACTTATGAGTTAGGACTTTGTGCTGTGTCATGTAGCATGATAAAAAGCTGGAGAAGAAAAAAATCTTTTTTTTTAATTTCATTATTAGAATACAATTTTAAAGAAGTATAATTGAACTGCCTAAACTCCAATACAAGTCAAATTGAACCATCTTGGATGTCTTGATTAAATGTTTTTATTTTAGGCACAGAGCAACAGAAAAGAGTTTTTTTTAAACTAGACCAAGTTCATAATGCATGTATTATTACTCAGGTACTTTTAATATACAAGTATACATACAAATTAAATATTCAGTACCTATAATGATGTTCATCAGCTCAGACAATTTCAGGTTCGAGAATCTGTGTCAAAACTCATGGAACAAATGCTCACTGGATCCATATCAAAATATCACTTTAACATAGAACATTCTATTTACTCAGGGAGTTGTTGACTTTTAAAGCATCATTCCAATGACTTTTCATACCAATTTTGCATAGATCAGTTTTTCCAAGGAGGGGTCCTGCCATCCAAGGTCACTTTTAGTAAATTCACCGTTATCTTAGGACTTTCAGTCAGGCGGGATATTCTTGATGTTATGTATTATTTCAGCCTCTAAAATTTACACAGCTTTCATTCATCGTTGAAATATATGTGGCCGGGATAGAAATTCAGGACATATAAGAAAATAAGATTATCAGTAAGTTGTCTAATGATTGTCAACAATGATTAAAAGTACCTGATGTTATTAATTTTTTAACCAATGAAAATTTATTTGCCATTTGAAAGACACTAGTACCGAGAATACTACGTCTTACTAAAAGTCCAAGGATGGCAGAGAATAATTGTACTGCTAGGTTAAGTATGTACATTTAATAATTCTGCAATGTCCATGGGAACAAACACACTCACCACTAGATCCGCCATGAAAATTTCAATCAAAAAGCATCCTATAGAAATTATACTATGGAAATGAGAAAAAAAATATAAGTGCTGACAAAAATTATTGTGTAAGGGTGATTTTGACAGCTCGGTCAGGGTACATAAAACAACTATTTTTTTATTGTTTGACTTACTTAACCCTTTTAATTATGAACTCTTTCATATATTTATAAAACCTTATTGATTTTAAAAATACAGAGATTACTTCACATTTTACCAATTAAATGACATAGCTTTAGTAATGATGCTCTCATTGCAATTCTAGTCACCAACTATGGAGCTTGAATTTATTAAACGAATTTGAGTTATGTACGGAAAACCTCGATCATTCAGTGCTAGAGTGTCCCTAGCTTAAGAAGGGGATCGCTGCCTTCCAAGGATATGATCGCCTGTAAGCACGGTGTTTTAAACAAACAAACATTACAAAGTGGAAACACTGAACATATTCATCTCCGCGTACATTAATTTGATCTATTTTATATGGTATATGAATAAAAACATGATAAACAACGTTGAACCTTACTTGGACAGGTTCGAGCATTTCCTGAGATCAGAAACCAGACGTTAAAAAGATGTGGCATACAAACCACTTATTTGTATCTATGAATAGCGAGAAATGTATTACATAGACACAAAAAGTAGTAAAACGTGCCACTTCTCTAAATTTTTAATCAACTAAATCGCATCCAAACTACCCATGTTGAAACTGAAAGCATTTTCTTCTTTCACTTCCGTCACAACGTCACACATGCGCATTAACGGTTTATAGAATATTCCGAAGATTGAACCCGATTACTATTAGGCTTGTGAATCGTGAAAACGAATTTTTGGCCGTCTATGCATTAAATATTCAACTTATGATTTAAACCATACTTATTACTGTTCTATTATCGATAGTTTCAAATATTTAAAGCGATTTTTACACCCAAATCCTAAAAGTATAGATGTTAAAAAGATTTTTCAAATTATCATTTTTTCAGCAAATTTGGTTTAAAATTGTGAAATTTTCTTGTTTGATGCCCGCTGCCCCACTTAATTTTTATGCCATATAAGGGAGAGAACATTGGAAAATAACGTGTTAATTCTAAAAAGAAATCTGTAGTCAGAATATCAAGCAGCAATTTATTTTTACTAGTAATGAACTTTATAATTTTAAGCTAAATATGTTTAATTCGCCCTAGAAAGTAATATTAGGTGGATAAGCAGATTAAAAAAATAATTAAACATTTAAACAAGCATATTTTCTCTATGATTCATATGTTAAAAAAAATCTTTTGCTTTTAATTTTAGAAAGCTAGAATAAATATCTTAATTTCCGCATTTCCGTCATTTCACGAGACAATGTCTATTTTTAGTAACAATCCTTTCAAAAGGAGGCCCGGTTGACCCCAAAATGTACACTGATCTGGAAAGGACAAATACTCAGTTAAGATTCTGAAAAGTTTCAACAAAATCTGTAGTTCCGTTATTTCTATAGGATGGTATGGATCTTTACCTTAAGGAATCTGTTCAGAAATCCATTATCGTCAGAAAATATAGTCAAAAAGAAGATGGTCTGATCTCCCTCACCGATTCCTCTACAGAAAGATAATTATTCAAACAAACTATAATAAAATATTTATACTATTTATTATACCTGTTGAAGAGTTTAAACTTCAAACTGCTCATTTCCTCTTCCATTGCTATAAGTACAAACCAGTTAAGTTTCAGTCTCGACAGAGACCTCTGGATATAAACATTTCTCAGGGTCCAGTTTCTTGAATGCTGCTAACAGTGTTTTTTCTTATATTTAACATTTGATTGCAGTGTTTTTTTCTTTTTTCTTTTTTCAACATGTTTTGTTTTTGCGAGAGCAAGCTAAGATAATCGTTTTTCGAAGCATACAGACTTCCAAACACTTATTATATAAACCTTAGCAAACGTAATTGTTATTTTGGCAATCACTAATTTAATGATTTATGTAAATAAATCATTTATATATGTTGCCCTCTGTTTACTTTCATAATGCGCATAGCGGGGACTCCGTGTGATATTTATAGCAACACGATTTACATAACTACAAAATGCGCATGCGCAGTCTAAATTTATATTTAGTAAACAGAGGCAACTTTGAGTCTATGAGAAAGTGTTTCGAAGATAACTTGAGAATAATCTGGATTTTAGAAGTCTACCACCGACAGACTATACAGCGACAACCCGTGCACTGTTCGAGATAGGTAAAGTGATATATTATTTTGTGTTTTCGCTGTAAAACTGATAGCGTCACTTGGAAAATTCCATCTTGTGTAATGTGCGGGAATAATGGTAGGAGACCAGCGATCATCATAGTGTAGTTGCTAAAAAATTTGTTAACCGGGCGACCCGAACTGTATATAAACAAACATTTGTGACCTTGTGAACAAGGTTAGTAATATCATATTTGCAATCTGAACAATATGTGATAATTACGCTTTTCAAGTCCTATTCTCTTATGAAAACTCGTGATGTCAACACTGTGCATCGGCGATTCCCACGTGAAGAGACTTCAATCGCATCTCAACCCACATAGTTCGAGTGCGTCAGCGTACAACATTGCGGGCCTGAGCCCCGTCAACTATTACGGAATTAGTGGAGGATTAGTAGCTTGCGATCGTCACTTGGCTTTGTTAACTTCTGCTGTGAGACAATACAAACCGCATCACCTCATTGTGTGTCTAGGAGGTAACGATTTGGATGTTATAGATTCAGACTGGAGCGCAGAGTGTGTGGTTTCAAAACTTGTTTCATTCCTAACGCAGCTAAGGAACCGATTCTTGTTAAAAACTGTAACTGTCCTCAGCTATTTTCCTAGACAAAGAACTAGGTCCATTCCGCCTGACACTTACAGGTTTAGAGTTAAGGAAACAAACAGCCTACTACAGGACAATTGTAAATATCACCAGTTGACTTTCTGGAGATTAAGAGGATTCACTGAAAGTAAACAACCGATTTTCTGTGACGGTGTCCATCTTAATTACTACGGCTTCCAGAAACTGATAAGACAATTAAGGGGAATTCTCCTCGCTCATCGCCATTCACGTTGTTAATTCCTGTTATTTAGAGGTTAGAAGACAGAGGCTTCTAACTTTGTTTTCATTTATTGCTAGAGTCTTGATTTTTTATGAATGTATCATAATAACTGGCACATGACTTAGGGGTTCATTATGTCTTCGCAGGTAGAAGTAAAAGATGTAACCATTACAATCTTTAATTACTACTAAACAGCTATAATAATCATGCAATGAGACAAAATACCTATATTGTCTTGTCTGACATTCTATTTCAGTACTTGATCATCAAGGTACAATTGTCTACCAAGCATTCATATCTTGAATATTTGGCTTGAAAAAGGTAATGTCTAACTCAGCCATTAGTCGGCATAAAAATCTTCTAGTCTATTGCAACAAACTCTGTAATAGCTAGTTAAATGGATATGCTCTGCATATACCCAACAGCTATGACACAATAATTTTCATGTCTGTTGTCATGACAGTTTTTTTATAGCTTCAAGCATATTACACAAGCTCAAAGCATATTTTACTAGCTTAAAGCATTATACTACTAGCCCAAGCTTTTAGCTTGGAGCTTTATTAGCTCAAAGCATGTTTCACCAACTCTGTTGGTAAAAATTATAAGGTTGGGGACCTCACTAGCTCAAAGCATATAATTATTAGCTCTAAGCATTTCCCCAACCAATACAGCATAAGTTTATGTTATAAATGCATTCTCGTTTCCTAATTTTCCCCCCTATTTAGCATGGCTTACAGACCAAAAAGGAAGAGGGCGAACAAAACTGATAGATAAGCGACCATTACAACGGTGACAAGCCCAGAGCCAGCATTGCCATCTCCAGACGTTGAAGGAATGGTGAGGGCATGTATGACAGCGTTAATTCCCTCAATTGAGAAAACCTGCCGTGACATCATCACACAACACACATTAGTGCCGGCACAAACTACGAGCCCAGAAGCCACTACCTCATCCACCACGTCCACACCAGCAAAGGAGACCACCACTGAGGGAAGCGAACAGCAGCCCGGACAATCGCTCCTCCAAGAGATAACAGGTATCTCATCATCTGTAGACAGAAATGAAACCCCAAAGCCCAAACAAACATCAGCAACAATTCTAACCCTGGGTGTGGATGATAAAACCCGATCAAAAATTCATGATGGAGAGTATATCAAATTCTCTACATTGTTGTCATCTGATTCGAGCTCGCCCACCACAAACTTCAGTAGATCAAGATGGGCAACTGATTTTTCTTAAATCAAACGAAAAAGATCCCATCAAAACAATTGCAAAATGGACTGAAGCGTACAAGATTTTTGTGGCTATAATGGCGGAAAAATGCCCTCAGGAAATTGGCAATCTAATGGTTTATGCTCAGACAGTCCAAAAAATTGCTGAGCCATGTGGGGATCAGGCTGCTCTCCAGTACGACGAAAAGTTTCGGCGCTGGAGACAGAAGGATCCTACTACATGTCCCTGGCAACCAAAAAATGCAGAGCTGTATCAAGAAGCTCTGGTTTTGGGATTGGATTATAGATTAAAATCCAAAAAGCAGCAACAGACCTTTCGTGTCCCTCTCAAACACAGGTACTGCTATGCATACAACAATCATGGCACATGCCCCAAAGAGAACGCATGCCCCCACCCACACATATGTCAAATCTGTGCAGGTAAACATTGGCGCAAACTCTGCCCCAAATTCAAACAAAGTAAACCAAAACCTGTTTCCAGGGACAACAGCGCAAGTTCCTCCAAGCCATCCACTTCAATTTCAAAGTAAAATAACAAGAAATCTGTGAGCCAATGCTCACTAGTAATACCCCCGCTCTGATGTAAATGAGCACTATCATGTTAATATACACAAGTTCATTTACAGGCAGATGCACAGAAAAATATGAAGTTGACATCAGATTCATATCAAAATTTATTCCACCATATGGAATGCCTCAACAAAGAGTGTAATAAAATTTCAAGTATATGCTATGAATAGCTAATGAGAAAACTGCAACTAAGATTTGTTATGTATGAAACAGACAGATGCACAGACAAACGGGAAGTTGACATCAGAATTGAGCGAAAATATATCCTACCATATCGCATGCCTCAGAGAATATTGTGTCAAGCATCTGCGATGAGTAGATGCTGAGAAAACTGTGACTAAAATTTGTTATGTATGAAACAGACAAACAGGAAGTTGACATCAGATTTGAGCGAAAATGTATCCCACCATATGGCATGCCTCAGAGAAGATTGTGTAAATATTTCAAGCATCTACAATGAATAGTTGCTGAGAAAACTGCGACGAAAAATTGTTATGTATGAAATGGACAAACACACAGACAAACAGGAAGTTGACAAAGGATTTGAGCGAAAATGTATCCCACCATATGGCATGCCTCAGAGAAGATTGTGTTAAAATTTCAAGCATCTGCGATGAGTAGTTGCTGAGAAAACTGCAACGAAAATTTGTTACGGACGGACACACGGACAGACAGACACACAAGGGTAAAACAGTATACCCCCCTATCCTTCGGAGCGGGGGTATAATTACTCCTATAAATCTCACTATTCTGGCGGACTACTTAGAAGGATACAATCATACTTTGGCAAACTTCTTAATTGAGGGCTTTAAATTCGGGTTTAGAATCCCATATCAAGGGCCTAGATAATTTCGCCTCTCTCCAAATTTGCCGTCTATTAAAGGAAAAGAATCTATCCTCAAACAAAGAATTCAACAAGAACTGCAAAATTTTCGCATAGCAGGCCCATTTACCGAACCCCCTTTTCCTAACATTCAAATCTCACCACTGGGCTTAGTCCCTAAAAAATCACCATGGGAATACCGATTAATACATCACGTTTCTTTTCCAGAGGGAGGGTCCATTAACCACCATATCCCACAAGAATTTTGTACTGTGCAGTACTAATCAGTCCAAACAGCTATAGAGGTCATAAAACAAATCGGAAAGGATTCTCTTTTAGCTAAGACTGATATTGAAAATGCATATAAGCAGGTTCCTATACACCCTGACGACTTCGAACTTCTGGGCTTTATGGTTGAAAACTATTATTATTATGATAAGACTTTACCCTTTGGGCTTAGCTATGCATGTAATTTGTTTGAAAAATTTAGCACAGCACTTCAATGGATTTTGCCATCCAAGTTTTCAGTTTCCCACTGTGTCCATATATACTGAACAAAAAAAGAAACGCATAATCAGAACTAGAACTGTCCAATAGGGACAAATACCCCCCGCTGGGTTTTTCACGCAGCACTGTTAAGGCCTACTATGAGAAATCAACGGAAAATAGACGTGCAAAAAAGGGGACCTTTTTAAAAACTGAATTCATTTTAATTAAGCTGTTTTTTTTATCACAGAACACAAATACTTATTGAAATAACATGGTATAACCCTCTCTATACTGTATGTAGTTTGGTCCCATCGATGGACAGTCACGTGATGAATGCATAGTTCGTGTACTGAATGTAGGCCATGAACAAATTTCAATATCGCAAGGGCATACCCTAGTTGAAATTAAAAATTCAAGTTATTATTTGTATCTGCAAACTTTGTAGTTTCTGAAAAGTGCTGCTGCTTTGAATAGATTTCGCGTTTTAATAGTTAATTTTTCTGGTAAATAAGCCAATGTCGAAATATGATTTACTTTTACCAAATATTTTGTGTACTTATAAAATCACACCCTCAATTTAAAGAAAGCAGCAGCACTTTTCAAGTTAAGAAAAATATCCTTTATCTATATTCAAAAAATGGTTAAGATCTATGAAGTGTATGCCCTTGCGAAAGTGGGATTTTATGAGGCATCTCGATGTAAAATAGACGTAACCTGTACATAAAAACACGACATAATTAACAAGAGGCCCACGGGCCTTATAGGTCACCTGAGTATTGTGCAACAACTTTCAAACAATTAAATTTGGTTCATGTTTTAAACCAGAATTCGCAATTCACAATTTTGAAAGAGGTACCATTGCTTATAATAATTAGCATGCTAACTCTATTTACTTAATACCCAGAGGTAGATCAGAGTAACATTAAGAGAAAATGCACTTCCACTTTATAACCAGTTGTACACCTCATCCCAAAGGAACAACTGATCCTGGGGCCACGTATTTCAAAATTTTGCAAACTTTATCATAAAATGGTTGATTAACACACCAAAGAGCAAATTTCAAAGCATTAATTTATTTTCAGACTTTGTACCCCCCCCCCCTCACCCCGACCCAGGGAAGGGGTGGGGGCATAAAAAATAACCATTTTGCTGGGTGCACCTTTCTTCATCATGAATATATATATTTGGATCCTAGGCATTAAACACAGGAGCAAAGGAAAGAATTTCAAAGAATAAATGCATTTTCACTATATAACCAATAGAGCCCTGCCCTAACACCAGAATCCCTGACCCTGGGTCATAAAATTCACAATTTTGAAAGAGGCACTCTTGCTCATCATAACTATGTGCTTAGTTAGTTTATTTAATACCCAGAAGTAGAGAAGAAGATTTTCAAAGAATTAATGCATTTTCACTAAATAACCAATAGAGCCCCACCCTAACACCAGAACCCCTGACCCTGGGGTCACAAAATTCACAATTTTGAAAGAGGCACTCTTGCTCATCATAACTATGTGCTTGGTTAGTTTATTTAATACCCAGGAGCAGAGAAGAAGATTTCCAAAGAATAAATGCATTTTCACTATATAACCAAAAGAGCCCCGCCCTAACACCAGAACCCCTGACCCTGGGGCCACAAAATTCACAATTTTGAAAGAGGCACTCTTGCTCATCATAACTAAGTACTTAGTTAGTTTATTTAATACCCAGAAGTAGAGAAGAAGATTTCCAAAGAATAAATGCATTTTCACTATATAACCAAAAGAGCTCCGCCCTAACACCAGAACCCCTGACCCTGGGGCCACAAAATTCACAATTTTGAAAGAGGCACTCTTGCTCATCATAACTAAGTACTTAGTTAGTTTATTTAATACCCAGAAGTAGAGAAGAAGATTTTTGAAGAATAAATGCATTTTCACTATATAACCAATAGAGCCCCGCCCTAACACCAGAACCCCTGACCCTGGGGTCATAAAATTCACAATTTTGAAAGAGGCACTCTTGCTCATCATAACTATGTGCTTAGTTAGTTTATTTAATACCCAGAAGTAGAGAAGAAGATTTTCAAAGAATTAATGCATTTTCACTAAATAACCAAAAGAGCCCCGCCCTAACACCAGAACCCCTGACCCTGGGGTCATAAAATTCACAATTTTGAAAGAGGCACTCTTGCTCATCATAACTATGTGCTTAGTTACTTTACTTAATATCCAGAAGTAGAGAAGAAGATTTTCAAAGAATTAATGCATTTTCACTATATAACCAATAGAGCCCCGCCCTAACACCAGAACCCCTGACCCTGGGGTCATAAAATTCACAATTTAGGAAGAGGCACTCTTGCTCATCATAACTATGTGCTTGGTTAGTTTATTTAATACCTAGGAGGAGAGAAGAAGATTTTCAAAGAAATCATGCATTTTCACTATATAATCTATGTAGCCCCGCCCTAGCACTAGAACCCCTGATCCTGGGGCCATGAATTTCACAATTTAAGTAGAGGACTCAATGCTCATTACATTCATAACAACAGTTTGCCTGCTTGATGTCCAGGAGTAAAGAAGAAGATTTTTAAAGATTGCAATAATTTTAGTGGTTTTTGCCCCACCCCCCAGGCCCCAGGGGGGCAGGGACCATGAAATTCACAATTTTTGTTCCCCTTCACCCATAGATGCTGTATACCAAATTTGGTTGAAATTGGTTAAGTGGTTTCCGAGAAGAAGCTGAAAATGTTTAAATGTTAACACACGACGCACGACACACGACGACGGACGAAAACGGATAGCAATAGGTCACCTGAGTTACTCAGGTGACCTAATAAAACACATTCTCTTGATAATTAATTAATGATCGAACTAAACAAAGGATATGCATTGGTATTAAGCGACTATTTAAAACCTGTAAATAATATTCCGTTTAATAATAAAAAACATTTTT